GCATATTATTATGTTTTATGAACATAGCATAATTTATTTATCTGTTCTTCCATTGATACTTAGGCTGTTTTCAATTTGTCATTGTACATTTCTCCACAAACACATGTGAGGGTGCTCTCAAAACCTTGCTGCTTGACCCAGGCTTAGGAAGTTTGCTTTCCTTAATTTTTGATACAAATTTTTATCAATCCCAAGGAGTTAACGAACTCCTTTCAGGAGAAATAAACTGAGTGCAGAGATACTAGGAAAAGCAAAAAGAAAGTCCCTGTTCTCAAGGAAGGGCCATTGGAATGGGATAATAATAAAATAACAGTGCAAATAAATGTAGCATTACAAGTATAATAAATAATTTGAAGGAAAAGTCCATCACCCTAAAAGCACTAAACAGGGAAACAGTGTTCTTAGTTCAGGGCATCATGTTGGTCTTCCTGAAATAGTGTGGTTGGTCTGAAAGGGGAGAAAGGAATGAGTAAGAACTAGTCTAGTAAGGAATATGGGGTTTGGGTTGAGGTAAGTGTGGGAAAACATCATAAGCAGAGGGAACAGGAGGTATACAGGTCTTGGGCTGGAAGAGAAAGTGCCCGTTTTAGAGAGCAGGCATACTTGGGTGGAACAAAGGGTGAAGGGAAAGAAGGCTTGAGAAAAACTCTAAAACAACATAGGCCAGAGCCCACAGAACTTTTTGGCTTTTACTCTAAGGCAAGGGAACACCATGGGCTGGGTTTAAGCTAGAAAGTGATACTATCATATTTGGAGTTCAAAACAATTCAAAACATGGGCTTCTATATGGAAAAGTCTTTGTTAAGATTCCTGCTCCAGTTTCTGCTGAATCTATGAAGCTGAAGCTGAACATCTTGTAGTCACTGGCAGGACTCAGTCATTCTCTTGAAGAGTGATCTGAAATGAGGAAATGCTCTTCTGTAGAAGCATCTGCTTTTAAGGCAGGATACACAGCAGAGTGAGTGAAAAGGCTTGATAGCTTCTATGAAGTGGTGTAAATCTTTAGCAAAATAGAAAATGTAAAAGAGAAATCAAGGTAAGGGAGACTCTATCTAGAGAAGAGAAAAAGAATGGGGAGGAAAGAGAGGCTGAGGCCTGGCTCCATGAAAATTCTCTTGGCCAAGCCAGTGGGTACAGAGATCAGGATGAGCCAGGCAAAACACAGGGAGACGGCATTAACAGAGACTTCAGTTGAAATTTTGAAGGAAAACATAGTTTTTTAGGCAATCTAAAGTGGACCAAATAGCTCACAAATTGCACAACACAGCAACTAAAATCCTATAGCCTCTGGGAGGCCTGAGCACGCCTAGACTCAGCCCATGATTAATCTCTCCTCCTTCTTAGAAAATCAAAGTCATGATATACAGCTTGTGGTACCAACATTGTAATGGCTCCTGCTGGGTAACTCGCAAGCACCACTCCATGCTCCCCCTGTTCCGGCCCCTGTCTCAGTTCAGAAAACATACTTGACAACACTATCATGACTCTTGAAGAACCAACTTTCATTCCCCCTATTATTTAGCACTGTTTTTTTCTTCTCATGCTTTGAGTAGACATTTATTTTCTAAGACAAAAGAAAAGAAGAGTTCTGAGACTCAGTTTGCAGTGGGGGAAACGCTTTGCAATCAGAGGGGTGAAAAAACTTTTCTGGAAAACAATGATTTTATTTGGCTTTTTCCAAAAGTATGTATAAGCATAAGAATGACTCAGACACTAACAAAAATACAGTCACAGAGAAGAACCTGATTGAAGCATAATTGATTATGTTGGACAATTACAAATGCCCTTATTAAATAATTGCATTTAAACCACATGATAGTTTTATAACTGATTTATAAAAACAAAATTTTGAAAGTTTAAGTGACATAATTGTTCTCAGTATCACTACAATTTTCAAATGAAGCAATTTAGCCTTAGAAGCAATTTCACTTCTCATTGTAATGTTATTTTGGTGTCAGGCTGCAAGCTTTTGTTCCACTTCAGAGTTCGAGGAATAATGATTAACCCTTCCCTCTCCTTGGCCAAATCAATGATGCATTTTTCTAGTGTATCAGCCTTTTGCCTTTTGCTGTAGACTCACTAGATCATTAAAAAATGGTCTGCAGGCCTCCGATTATGTATATGGTTTCTATTAATGAGAATGTAGTAGCTTCTGTATGGATGTGGGAAATATAAATCTTTCTTAGACTAGGGGTATGTGTGAATTCAGAATAAAAATGGCAAAAACAAACTTTCTTATGTTTGAGGGTTTCAACAAATAATGTCAAGACTTTGCACAGTTTTCTCTCAAAATTACATCCCCTACTGGAAGCAATCCAGGAAATGGCCTGGTATCTCTGGCACATCTCCTAGAATGTTAATCAAAGGTCTGTATTTTCGGCTGCATGAATAAAGGATCTTGGGACATTCAGCAGATAAAAGCCAATACCATTAACATTCCTTTATTGAGTTTATATGAATTAAATAGTTTTATACAACTACTGTCTCAGTATCACACACACAACTCCCAAGGCATGTTCTACACTGGTAATAAGAGCTAAACCTGCTGTATTTCATTTCAGCCTTGCTGATAGCATTTATCAACAAAATCTGGCTAAAAAATGGAATATGCAACTTAAGCCTGATCATAACTGGGCTGCAGAGAAGGAAAGTGGGGGATTATCTGGGGACTGGGAGCACAAATATAAGATTGTATAGTCATTGTGTACTATAGGCCTTTTGGCAAACTGTAGTGTAAGCCCCAGTTGACAGGCCTTTTCACAACTGACAGAGGAAAATATGAAACTTAAATTCTTCATGACAGATAAATCTGCTGAATGAAAGGGAGACCAACAGGATAACTGTGGGACAAAAAACATACTGCTTTTGGGTAACTCCCTTAAATCTACCTCTTTTGTGAATATACAAAATAGGCATTCAATGCATATCTTCTAAACTCCTACCTACCAGCTTTGCTAAGCATGCTGTTAAGTTGGAATGATAAAATAAGCATCTTTTCTTCAGCAGATGAATACAAAGTCTTATAAGACAGGGGTGGCAGATTAAATTTAATATGTGGGCATGAAAGACATTTCCTGGATGACTATCAACTGGAGTGGATTTCTTGAACCAAAGTTGACATGTTACTATTGTAGAAGGCTTATTAATTGAGATATTAAATGTACCTAATCCACCATGATGGGGATCTTTGTCAAATTAAAAAAATATGACTATAAGTAATTGCTCTTTTCTGTCAGTGAGTCCCAAGTCCATGAAATGTAACCAGAGACCACCTCTTAGGATTAATATCATTGGGCTTTCCACTGGTGATACATACCTTTTACCCTTGTCAAGGGCCCTGCGGCCTCCAGGGGTTTAGGGTTCTTTGCCTTTTCCATGCTGGTTTAGCACCGGCATTTTTTCCTTATTCATCTTGATCAGCTATACTAGTTCTGTCCAATTCTGGTGGCAGCCTATGGAAAACTACCTCAAACCATGCGAAGCCAGATTAAACTGAAAAGTAAAGTTTCTTGTATAGTTCTTTTTTTTTTTTAACCCTTGCAGCTATTTAGTTATTTATTGTATAACCTCACTGCTCTTGGCATTTCCTAGAGGAAGCTTTCTGAGCAGCACTGCTTCTGGGGGAGAGGAGGGATTAATACAGGCTGCCTCTTTTATTAATGAATGGCTGGACTGCCTTGGCAAATCCCAGGTCAAGTTGATAGACAATACCTTGCTGAGATAGACCGAAGGAAGTTTCAGAGACCAAGAGCAGGTCTGCCTTGAACTGTCACTTTCCCTGGTTGCCATGCAATTCATGGCTAATCTCCACAAAAAAATCAAGGTGAGAATTAGACAGCAGTGGGGAGAGAGAGAAAGAGAAAGAGACTGAATGGGTGAAAGGAAAGATGAAAATGGTAATGAGACTTCATGCCCTGACCAGCGTGAGTTCTTCCACCAGTCAGAAAGTCCTGGAATGTCTGGCAGCAGGACTAGGGCACAGTGTCAGGCCATGGGTATCACCCACCAAGTCACAGGGAGGCAGAAGAAAGACAGTGAGAGGCAGAGTTAGAAAGACTATAAAAAGGAGGAAGAAGACGAGGAGGAGGAGGAAGGGGAGGAGCAAGGGGAGGAGGGGAGCCAGGCTGGAGTCTGCGAGAAGAATCCAGGCGCCACGGTGTAACAGCTGCCTCAGGTATGTTAGCCAGTCTCAGCTCGTTCCCAGCGCTTCTTGGCAAGCGCAAGGCTCAGGCGTGCACACGACATACACGCAGGTGAGTGTGCGCACACCCGCTCTGAGCTGTATCTGTTGTAAAGAAGCTTCTGGCCTGTCTGCAGTAGTGTCTTTCAGATACTCGCAGAGAGAGCTGGGCTTGTTGGGCACCGCTTTTCATAACTGTGGTAAAATTGCCTAAGACCTTCGTAAATAACAAAATCTACTCAAATACAAAGGGATTTAACTTACTCTAAAGATTATTATATTTTGTCTGCTGGATTAGAACTACTTCCAAAGTCATTAGAGAAACTCAACATTAGCACTTACTTTTCTATAAAGAAACAAACCACACACATACAAAGGTGCAGCATTATACAGTAATTACCCAAAATGCTACTGCTTGGAATAATAAGGATGCTGTGTGTTTACACATCATCTTTCTTCTCCTAAGAATTCAAATAGCTACACCACCCATATCCCATTATTCCTATCAACAGTCTTCAATGAGCTATGCGGGTGGCAAGGATAATTATCTGTATTACATAGAAGGAGTAACTGAGGCACAGAGAGACATTCAGGATCACACCGTAAGGAAATAGCAATTCTGGACTTACTATATAAAACATTAGCGGTCAAGAGTTTTGCTGTTAAAAATATATATTCCTCTTTTCCATCTTGATTTTCTTAAAACAATTTACAAAGAGCCTTTCCTCTTTGGGGACTCTCTGACCCCTTCTTTGTGTGCAGTCTTTACCTTTGCACTTAACAGTGTGTTGTAATACTTCATTTATTTGCCTACCTCTTTCCTGATAACATGTTCTTGAAGGCCAGGACTTGCTCATCTCTGTATCTCCAGCGCTTGGAACACAGTTGATGTTTCTTAAATGTCTGCTGGCTAAACGAATGAAAGAAAAAAGAATGAATGCATTAATGGACAATCTTCTAAGAAGAATTTCTGACAAGGTAACAATAAATGCAAATTTGGGCCTAAACTAAATATGTCTGATCTGATTTTATCTTTGCTATGACAAATATGTCCACCTCATGAGCCTTCTTTTAAAAATTCAGTGAATACATTTAGAGCTAATTCCTTCCCTGCCTGGGCTGTTGGATTTATTGTTTGGAATAATAACTGAGACTCATGGAAATACTAGGGCTCCAGATGGTCTATTGTAACTATTTTCCCCATAGACCCCCCTTTTTTGATATCTAAGGGAAAGCATTTTAGGTGCGGAGGTTTTGGGGAGTATTAATATATAGTTATTATGCTGTCCCAAAACCCTTTCCTCTGTGTATTGAGTCTTAAAGCCAGATTGTTTTGGGGGGGGTGCAGACCCCAAAATAACAATAGGAACAATGATTGCTCTTCAAGGAGACTACAAATTTAACTCTCTTTTATATATTTTTTCGGTGATCAATACAAAAAAGGCAAGGTAATATATGTTAATCTTTACCAGATGTACTTTATGTATCCCCTTACGTTGGAAGCCTAGCAGGAGTAGAATGTCACAACAGACATTTACTGAACTACCTGGGGAAATGTAACAAAAAGTGTTAGACGAAAATGGTCTTTCAGCTAAATTACCTAATATATTTGCTAATGGTATCTGATTTAAAAGCCATAAAAATACCAAGTTAAAAGCACATTAGAAGATGTGTTATATTTATAAGTGTTTGTCACCTTGGCAACAAAAGCTATATTCCAAATCTAACACTAGCTATGATGGGCCAAGACCTTTTAAAATTGGTAAATACTTCTTTATGGCAATGATCTGCTTTCAGCTACTGAATGTTAGAACTAGAAAAGGCAAGTTCTTCATTGCATAGCAAGTTTTTTGCTAGCTTTCTACTATGGGTAAGCTTTTTCTTTCTATTAGTAAGTGTGGTTTATTCTTGACAAGAAAAACAATGCATTTTCAAATAAAGCATCAGTCTTAATTGCACTCAGAAATGCAGATATAATAGCTTGAAGATTCCTAAGGATAAGAGTTTATCTATCAACTTTATATTTCGGTTTATCAACCATAGGACTGACCTTGGTTCATGTATGAAATATCACCGGTGTATACTATAAAATCAACCTTATCCTATAAAAATCTATTCTCCTGGTGGGTGGAATATGTCTAGTTTAATAGGGGAAATTTGCACATACCTTTACCTTCCAAGTGAGTTGCATGAAGGACTGAAAAATTATCTGTCACTGTGTCTCACTAAAATTCTGCTTCCAAATTACATCTAATAAAATTAGATGATTTGGTGATGGGAACCCATGCTCTAAAAGGTAGATTTCAGGTAGACCTGAAAGAGGTTTAGACTGAACTCTTACTATTCTTCCCTCATTTTTTAAGTTGTAATCTGCTTTCCAAATCCTATAAAAAATGTTTGGTTTATGTGCCAGTAAAAGATTATAATTCCAAGAGTCTAACTAGATTCCCATGCGGTTGAACTAATTTTCAGAAGTAAACCATGGAAAAGGTCTGGGTAAACACACATTCTCTGTGGGTTGTGGCTGTTCACTGGGAGCCTAGACAAGTTGTCTCTACAGCCAGCTTGGGAAAACCCAAGCCCAACTCATGATCTGTAATCATGCTCAGCAGGTTCTCAGAGAGAGTGGGCAGATCAAAAGGCTAAAGGCCATCACCCCCATGTAACTTTTCTTTCTTTTTTTAAAAGATTTTATTCATTTATTTGACAGAGACAGAGATAGCAAGAGCAGGAACACAAGCAGGGGGAGTGGGAGAGGGAGAAGCAGGTTTCCTACTAAGCAGGGAGCCCGATGTGGGACTCGATCAGGACCCTGGGATCAAGACCTGAGCCGAAGGCAGACGCTTAACGACTGAGCCACCCAGGCGCCCCACCACATAACTTTTCTAACACAAGGAGACCATATCTTTCTTCTACCCAGGAGAAATCAATAAAAATTTCCTACCACATCAGCCCAAACTAAATATTGCCAGGAAGTATGTCATTGCTTCCTTTTTATTTTCTAAGAAATAAGGTCTTCTTAGTGAACATAAGAAAAAGTTTTAGTCCATGTGATGGAGATATTAATAGTGCACAAAGGGAATGTTCTAGAAGAAGAGAGATGAGCCTCCAGCCTAGAACTAATAAAGCAAGGTAGCACCTTTGAGTTCAAATATAAAGTATGTGAACAAAGCTGACAAAATTCATTATACATAGTTAACCAGATGTACTTTTCACTTAAGGCAAAGAATCACATGGATTGACATATTCTTCATTTGACTGACAAATGTAACTCTTGAGAATGTGTTTGATTACATCACCTTGCCACTAAGCCCTTTGCTTAACTCCTAACGAATCAATTACCAAGCCATCTTCTGTTGGAAAATTTAGAAGAAATTGTCTATTTTTACTCAATATTAAGTTTTAGATAGCCTAGATGGAAATTAGAGCATCTTGTTTGAAAATCATCATATATTATATTATTTAAAGCACTGACTACATAATCTCATTTCACTCTCCAGAAAATATAAGTAAAAGGCTACAGCCTGAATTTTACCAAGTATAAAGACACAAGATAATTCATAATAGCTACCTTAGCTGAGTGAAAACACAACATGCAGCATCACTCAAATTTCTTCCGAAGGGAATAATGGGCCTACAAGGGAAGGGACTGATTTTTCCCCCAACTTTATACCCTCTGCATAGTAGCCAAGCAACAGATATTTGTACAATTATAAACACAAATGAACTTCAGTAATTTATTTCATGTATTCCCCATGATATCCACAAACTGAGGAATGACCATCTTACACAAATAGGTAGCTAAGAAAAAAATGTTAGAGGTAGAAGTAAAATAAAATAACATGATTTATTTCCATTTTGTTGATACTTATGTGTAGACATGTTTGCCTTACAGACCTGAAAGATGAGTAGAAATTAGGTAAAGAGAATGGGCCCACCAACATAACCCAAAGTGGAAAGTGAGAATTAGCATGGCAGGAACATTAAGGAGCTTGCATTGCTGGAGTGAAAATTGTAGGGTTTAGAAGTGAGTAGGAAATGTGGTTAAGTATGCATAGTGGGGGTCAGTTGTAGACCAAGAAAGGAAACTAACATGTGCTGAACACCAGGCCTTATACAGAGGTTCCCTCAGGTTGTTCCTCAGGACAAGACTGTGAAGTGGGTATGATTATCCTTACAGACTGGAGAAAGTCTCAGAAAGTTTAGATACCTGACTCAGTGGCTCTCAGAAAGTATGTGGTAAATACGAGCCATTCTTCCAGTGGCACTATACTGTATTGAAAACTGGGCAGAGAGATGTAGAGGTTAACACACACAGAAAGTAACAGCTTCTAAACCAAGTCCAGAAAAGTTGAATCTGAATAAATGATTTAAAAATACAGATGGCTTAATAGGACCCCTAACTGCCCTGGGGTTTTTCCATGTGTGAAATGAGCAACATTATCACATAATCATGTTCTTAACCTCAACAGGGAGACTTGATTAATTTTCAGTTACAAATTTCAGAGTAGTACTGATTGTAAGACTTTGCTGCTTAGGGTGTTACGGTTCATCATTCCAGAAAGCCCCAGGTCCGATTTGGAAAACATAAAATATTCTAAAGGCAGATCTAGTTATGAAAATGTAGACATTGTCTTGTATTGGCAACCTGACAAATGTGCTGCTATACTCCTCCCGTTGTGGTTTACATGCTGCTTCCATACACGACACTGGCATCCCATTCGGAAGTTGATTGTTGTGTTTTGGTTTATGTTTCATACAACAACTGCCCTGAGCCACTTCTAAGAGAGGAAAATAATGACAAATTTGAAATTTTCTCCCCAGGAAAAGAGGCTGTGGTGAAAACACCAGATGACATTTAAGCAACTACCATTAAAGGCATTTTAATTTTCTGTTGACAAACATGATTTTCCAAATGATTTACAGTGAAGTTTCTGGGCTGACAGCCATACAGCCTGTCTAGGACTATGTTTTCTGGCTCTACAAAAGTGCTAATGAAATCTTCATTCTTCTGTGAGGGACTTAATGTCTTAAAAGCCACAGTGCTATTTAGGTTCCTGGTTCCCCAGCTTCTGCTGTCACCTTCCTTCAGAGCCCCTGGGGGCTCTTCTAATCCCAAACTCTAATGTCAGACTCAAGAAGGACAGTGGTGCTTTGGGGAGCACTGGTTCCACACTTGGCAGCATGTGTATCTATCAGCAAAAGCAGCTTCCTTCTTAGACCCCCCTTCTGCAGCCTGGAGTTTCATCTGGTTCAGGGGATTCAGTCTCCACTAACTTCAGTGTATCTTTTCCTTTCTTGAATGCTGTCTGCTTTATTAGCTTGCTAGATATCCAGTTTCTCTAAAGAGTAAAGCTCTGTTGTGCTCTTGTTAAGTTTTCATCTCTGACTTGCTGTTAATACTCAGAGTCCAGAACTTGCCTGGTGCTTAAGGCCTGCCTTTCTGTTTGGATTTTCATTTTTGTTCTTGATATTATTTTGTTCAATACTCTCATATTACAGACAAGAAAACCAAAATGTAATAAAGTTGGGAAATTTGCCCAAGTTCTCAAGATTAATTATTTGAACACAGGTCTACTTATTTTGAGACCTATATGCTTTTACATGTTCAGGCTAAGGTTATTAGATACCCTCTTTTAAGACATTATCCCCTCTATTTGTTATTTTATCTAACATGTCAAGAAATGTTTGAGAAGGAAAGCTGTTCCCCAATTTTTTTAAAAAATGTTAAAATAAAAAGCAAAATACCTGTCCTTGTTCAAGGATATTAGTCTATGGGAGGTTTTGTTTATGAAGTTTTAAGAGATGCAGTGTTTTTTTTTAAAACATGAGCTTATTTTATCAACCTGTTTCTAAACTGTTATAATGGATAGACTTCCATTTTATTAAAATGGTCTCTTTTCCTCTGGA